CCACCTCTAGTCAGGATAGGGAGGCACTGGGATTGCAGATTCTCAGCTTTACATGGATTCTGGGGATTCAAACTCGGACCCTCCCATGCTTGTGTGTTGGGTGTTTTACCTACTGAGCCACCTCCATAGCTCCAAAGCTCTTAACTAAAATAAAAATATCTACTAAGAAGTCAAAGAATCCTGATGTTTTATATGCCCACTGCATTAGTTTGGGTTTCTATTGCTGTAGTGAAACGCCCTGACCAAAGATCAAGTTGGAGATGAAAGGATTTATTTGGCTTACACTTCCATATTGTAATCTAGTCCTGAAGGGGGCAGCTCAGGAACTCAAGCAGGGCAGGAGCTAGCTGATGCAAAAGCCATGGAGGAGCTCACTGGCTTGATCCCCATGGCTTGCTCAGCCTGATTTCTTATAGAATTCAGGACCACCAGCCCAAGGATGGCCTTACCCACAATGAGCTGAGCCCTCCCCCATTAATCACTAATCAAAAGAATACTTTACAGGCCTACCTACTTATGGAAGCATTTTCTCAACTGAGGTTCCCTCCTCTCAGATGACTTTAGCTTGTATCAAGTTGACGTAAAACTAGCACACCAACTTAAAAAATTAATTAAAATAAATAGAAAGGCAAAATTTACATTTTAAGTAATTCATTAAAACACCTAATATAGGATTTTATAAGATGGTGTCATTTCAATATACTAAATTTCTGTGAATACACAGACAGAATGTTACTTTTAAATATTGGTTTACATATTTCTTATGTGTTGGCTTTAGACTAGCGCTGAAGCATCCATTACTCTGGGAGTTGTGGAGATTAAAGTTGTGATGTGTGCTGAGTAAAGAGAAAACAGACTGAGTACCAGACATGAAATTAGTATGTGAGAGTCACCTCACTTGCCTACAGGGAAACAGGGTAGACTCCCAATGTGTTTGGTCTCTCATCAGCTTTGACAAAATGGTGGGAGCAAAAGAAGGCCTTAAATCATTTCCCTGTCTAATCTGAAGAAGGCTGGTGTCTATAGGCAGCCTGCTCCATGTTGCTTCTAACATGAAAGCTGGATGCTGAAGGACTGGGTTGACAGCCAATTCATTTTGCTGATTCATCCATCAGAAGTGTGGCTCTGAGCCAGATCTTGGCTTCTAGATTAAAGGCCAGAGCTACAAAACTGTTGGGACTAAAGGAATGTGGATAAACCATTGCCATGCAAGACTTGCAATGAAAGGACTTTTACTTGTTTTCCCTTTCTAGTTACCCTGATTCCAGTGTGCTCAGATGTATTCCTTGTCAGGGAACTGTTGGAGTCATTCATCCATGGGTCTGGGGCTAGGATCAGTGGGGGTACCACTGGACATGTCATCTCCCTGCCTTCTGGACCCATTGTGGCCTCGGCTGCTGTAGAAATACTGATCTGAGTGAGCACTTCTCCTCAGCAGTGCACATTCCACTCAGAGATGGGTTATTTCAGGTGCTGTGGAGTAGACCTTCCAACCAGAAGAAATTTCAAGGGGTTTCTACCACAGCTCTCTCTGCAGATGATCTGCTATGATTTGGGGTTTGTGGTTGTGAGCTCATGGTTTATTAACAATCCCTGTCATTCCTTTGGGAGATATTGCATAATATAAAAATTTCATAATACTTTGAGGTATTTTTCATCTTTCACTAATAGCAAAGTACAATGAACCTCTTAGTAAACTTCTTATGAACTTGGTTTTTTTTTTCCTTTTTTAAAAATATATTAAATCTTTTTTTTGTGGGTGGTGTCCATAGAGTACTTATTAGTGTATGTCCTCATGTGCACATGGTTACTCATGTATGTGAAAGTTGGAAATAAACAAGGATGTTTCCTCCATGTTTTTGCTTTTGAGACAGTGTCCCCTTGTGAACCTGAAACTCATTGGTCTGGCTAAGTTTATTGGCCAATGAACCTTAGGGATCTGCTTGTCTCCATACTGACACCCAGCGCTATAGTTACAGTAATACACTACCACCCATGGGTTTTAGGTCCTTGTGCTTGTATGGCAGGCACTTTACTGGCTGTCTTAGTTAGGGTTTTTATTACTGTGAAGAGACACCATGACCACAGCAACTTTTATAAAGAAAGCATTTAATTGAGTTAGCGGCTTACAGTTTCATAGGTTCACTTCTTTATCATCATGATGGGGAGCATGGCAGTGTGCAGGCAGATGTGATGCTGGCTACATCTTGACTAGAAGGTAGCAAGAAGTTGACTGACTGTCATACTGAAGGAAGCTTGAGCAAAAGAGACCTCAAAGCCAGCCCCAATGTCCTCCAGCAAGGCCACACCTCTTAATAATGCCACTCCCTTTGGAGGCCATTTTCTTTCAAACCACTACACTGACAGAGGTACCTCTCCATCCCTCTTTCTTATTTTAATATTTGGATGTCTAAATATTTCAGGTGTGACATGAAACAAACAACTGTGCTGAAGAGTTTAGTCAAATCTGGTCCATTTTCAAATGTAAAAATATCGACTCTTGGCTATGTGTAGCATCTGCCTCTTGTACTTCATTTTCCTTTTCTTGGGGTTAAGGTTCCTGGTACACCAGAGTCTTTTTTACTTCTTTTTCCAGATAGGATCTCATTGTATAGGCCAAATTATCCTGGAACTCGTTGTATAGCATAGGCTTGCCTTAGGCTGTCACCCCTCTGTCTTGACTTCCTGAACATGGGGATTAAAAGTCTGTGCTACCGAGCCTGCTCTGATGTCCAGTTAGTTCTGTGGTACCCTAAGACTGTATGTTCATCTCTCCCACCTGCCTTCTGCCTTCATTTGTCCATTCTTGTATTTACTAACTCTGCCAGATACATAATGCTGGTGCAGCTTCTTAGGTACCAAGACTGCTCCAACAGCATGGCCAGGCTCTTAGCAATTATTAGAGATAACTACTGGTGCTAATAATGGTCAAAGAAAGCACATGCCCAAACTGCATGAGCCAACACCCATTATGATTATGATGGAGCCATCTTCATGAAACAGGCTTTCCATCCTCCTTACTCTCTTACTGCTACCTGTTAAATCTGTTGGCCTCAAAGGAAGGAGCACATGGGTTTGAACACCAGTAACCAGAGCAGAGCTCTGGAAGAGCATTTGCTGTGTGTGCTCCAGGCGCTGGGTTCTGTGTTCAGCAGTGCAAACCAAAAAACAAACAAGCAACTGCTTCTCCCATTTGTACCTGCAGGGTATAGCCAGATGTTCAATGTAGGGAACTGTGGGGTCTTTAAAAATGCAGGGTGAATGTGGTAACTTGACCAACCCCTGAGAAATGGGTTCACCCAAAAAAGGGCACACCTTTAATCCCAGCACTGGGGAGGCGAGGCAGAGGCAGACGGATACCTTAATTCAAGGCCAGACTGGTCTATAGAGTAAGTTCCAGTACAGCCAGGACTACACAGAGAAACCCTGTCTTGAAAAGCCAGAAACCAAAAATGGGGGAGGAAGGTAAGCAAATGTCAAGGATTATAGAGTTCTCAGCATTCAGGTACAGAGTGGCATAAAGAGCCCTGGTATTTGGGTAACCTGGTGTTGAGTCTTGGTAGAGGAATCTGTAGACAAACCCTTGATCTCCATGACTTTGTTTCTCATTGAGTATGTGTTATGCCTAGATCGAGGAGCCCCCCCCACAAACAAACAAACAAACAAACAAGGAGACCAAATCCCATGTGTATAAAAGAGCCTTTATTCAAGCTCGAGCAGCAGCTGAGAGCAGGCAGAATGTCCAGCCTGGGCAGAGTAGGGTTTTTATCATACATAGTAAAGGTTGGGTGAGGGGATTTTCAGGGTTCAAGATCCTGATTGGCTGACATTTGTCTAGGGGTGCTTGGTCTAAGGGACATCAGGTGATCCTATCTATAACTGTTGGAATGTTAGGAATTTCCTTTTGGAGCATCAGGTACTTTCCCCTGGATGGACCCTTCCTGGGTTGTTTCTGGGTGGTCCCAGCTTGTGATCTCTGCTGGAGTCAGGTGTCTTCCCAGGGTAAACTTAAACTTCAGGTTAGTTTCTAGTTATTCTCCACTGAGCTTTGGCATGGCAGCAGTGTAGCCAAGTGGCAGGTGTGTACCAAATTGTTCTGGGTCCCACATGTTTGTGTGTGTGTGTGGGGGGGGGTTGGAAATCAGAAGATAATCTCAGGAGTTGGTACTCAGCTACGTTCCACCTTTGTTGGAGATAGGGTTCCTCACTGGCCTGGAACTTTGCCATGTAGGCCAGGGTAGCTGGCATTTAAGGTTCCTGGGCCTATCTGCCTATCTCAGTCTCCTAGCTTCCCATTGCTGGGATTGCCAGCACATGCCACAGCCCCCAGCTTTATTTGTTTGTTTAATTGTGGTAATATCAGATCTGGGGATCCAAACTCAGGTCCTCATACTTGTAAAGCAGTCACTTTACTGTATGAGCTGTCTTCCCAGTCCATTGTTTCTCATTGTTAAAGATAATTCCTCTCTCATGGGTGTTCTGTGGAGCTTAAACACAGTATCTCTAAAACAGAGTACAGATATGTAGCAGAGTTGTCATACCAGTGTGCATGCAGCCTTTGTTACCATTTTATTTATAATAGTGAGAGTTTGAGGTTATTACCTAATGATTGCCTGCTTATACTTTCTTATTCTGAAAAATGAAGTTTTCAAGCTGTCTTACTAGGTGTAAACACCTGGAAAGGCAGTGTTTTGTTTATATCTTTGCAGTGTTTTCCTGTTTACAAAGCCCCTCACACTGGGGGAGGTTGAGGAATGGACTTGTTACTCTGCGAGGAGATCCTGAGACAAATATCAGCCAGTTAGGGTCTTGAACCCTGAAAATCCCCTCACCCCCAACCTCTACTATGACAAAAACCCTACTCCGTCCAGGGTGGGCACTCTCTCTATTTTCAACTGCTTTATCAGACAGAAGGAGGAGATCCATCAGCCCAGACTTCTTAACCATCTTTCTTAATGCTATCTTCATCTTTTCTAAGGATTTCTTTCTCTTCCTTGTAGCTGTTAATACCAGCAAATATGCTGAAAGTTATCGGATCCAGACCTATGCAGAGTATGTGGGAAAGAAACAGCAAGACAAGCAGATCAAGAGGAAGTGGACAGAAGACAGCTGGAAGGAGGTGGAAAGAAAGCAACCCAAAGTGCCAGGCCCCCATTCCCATACCAACAGGTGAGCACCTGACTGGGCTGAGGACTTGAGCTGTCCCAGCAGTGGACCTCTTGGTGCTTCCTTGGTGACTTAGGAGGAAAATGCCTTTTTATATAATGTTGTTAAGTAACTGATTACTGCTTCATATTTTTTTAGTTTTGTCCTCCCTCCCTCCCTTCATTTTGGTTGCCCTCAAATTCAGACTTCTTTGGTGGTAGATTTATTTTTTTTTTTTTTTTTTTTTTTTTTGCACTGTCTTATGAGTATTCCAGTTCCTTATATTTGAGCGATTATATAGACACATTCCTCTGGAGTAAGTGAGTAGGAATGTGGACTGGGTGTCTATGACATTTATGTATTTGTTAAGCTTTAAGCTTTGCAGAAACAAAGCTTAAAGCTATCAAATGGTTCAGTCTCTACAGAACCATTTTATAGCCACCCGTAATATGTGGCTTCAAGTGCTTCACATACTTGCCAACATTTAATGTTCTCAGTTTCAGTTTTAGCTATTCTAGACTGTATGAACCAGCATCCTATCTAGTTTCTAATTGGCATCTCTCTCAGGGATAATGAAGTGAACTATGCTTTATTTTTACAATGCTAGGAATTTAGCTGTACCTCCAGCCCTTGGCTACCTTTTTAATGTATTTATTGGCCACTCAGGTATGCTATTTTAGATGTGTATTGAGTGTTGTGACCCCCTTGAAAACTGTGTTGGTTGCTTGTGTTGCTTTGAAGTATTCTGGATCAGTAATGTGTGCTGAATACTTATATTTGAGAATTGATTTGCTTATTCTCTCTCTCTCTTTCTCTCCCTCCCTTTCTTCCCCCTTCCTTCCCTCTCTCCCTTCCTCCCTTCTTCTTTGAGACAGGATGTCTTTATGTAGTCCTGACTGTCCTGGAACTCATTCTGTAGACCAGGCTGGCCTTGAACTCAGAGATCCATCTGCCTCTATTAAAAGTGGTGCTAGGATCAAACAACCACCTGGCTATTTAAGAAAATCTCTCTTTCTGTAGACATGTAAAACAAGCTTTTCTGGTGGTGTGGATTGTAGGCTGGTAATCCTTTACTCTATGTCTATAAACCAAATATGAGATCGTACATGCCATGTTTGTATTTTTGTGACTGAGGTTACCTTACTCAGTGTGGTTTCTTCTAGTTCCATCCATTTGCCTTCGAATTTCAAGATTCCATTGTTTTTGTCCACTGAGTAGTACTCCACTGTGTAAATGTACCATATTTTCTCCATCCATTCTTCAGTTGAGGGGCATTTAGGTTGCTTCCAGGTTCTGGCTATTACAAATAATGGTGCTATGAACATAGTTGAACAGATGCCCTTGTTGTATGAATGTGCATCCTTCGGGTATATGCCTAAGAGTGGAATTGCTGGGTCTTGAGGTAGACTGATTCCCATTTTCCTGAGGAACCACCATACTGATTTCCAAAGTGGCTGTACAAGTTTGCACTCCCACCAGTAGAGGAGCAGTGTACCCCTTTCTCTACATCCTTTCCAGCATAAAATGTCTTTGGTGTTTTTGATTTTAGCCATTCTGACAGGAGTAATATCAGAATTGTTTTGATTTGCATTTCCCTGATGGCTAAGGATGTTGAGTACTTTCTTAAGTATCTTTCAGCCATTTTAGATTCCTCTATTGAGAATTCTCTATTTAGTTCTGTACCCCACTTTTTAATTGGATTATTTGGTGTTTTGGTAACTTGCTTCTTGAAATCAGCCTTCTGTCAGATGTGGTTGGTGAATATATTTTTCCCATCCTGTGGGCTGCCATTTTGTCTTGTTGACTGTGTCCTTTGCCTTACAGAAGCTTCCCAGTTTCAGGAGGTTCCATTTATTAATTGTCGATCTCAGTATCTGTGCTACTGGTGTTATGTTCAGGAATATACCAATTTATTCAAGTGTACCTCCCACTTTCTCTTCTAAGAGGTTCAGTGTAGCTGGATTTATGTTGAGGTCTTTGATCCATTTTTAAGTTTTGTGCATGGTGATAGATATGGATCCATCTGCAGTCTTTGGATACAAATTGGAAAGAAAGAAGTCAAACTTCCACTGTTTGCAGATGATCTGATAGTTTACATAGGTGACCTGAAAAACTCTACCAGGTAACTCTTACAGCTGATAAACACTTTCAGCAAAGTGGCAGGATACAAGACCAAGCAAATAATAAATAGATATCATACAGACGATAAAGGGACTGAGAAAGAAATAAGAGAAATATCTTTCACATCTTTTCTAATAGTCACAAACAACATAAAATACCTTGGGATAATGCTAACCAAACAAATGAAAGATCTATATAATAAGAACTTTGAGTCTTTAAAGAAAGAAATTAAAGAAATTACCAGAAAATGGAAAGATCTCCCATGCTCTTGGATAGCTAGGATCAACATAGTAAAAATGGCAATCTTGTCAAAAGCAATCTACAGATTCAATGTAATCCCTATTAAAATCTTAGCACAATTCTTCACAGACCTTGAAAGAACAATACTCTATATGGAAAAACAAAAGACCCAGGATAGCCAAAACAACCCTGCACAATAAAGGAACTTCAGGAGGCATCACCATCCCCAACTTCAAGCTCTACTTAGAGCTATAGTCCTGAAAACGGCTTGGTATTGGCACAAAAATAGAGAGGTAAATCAATGGAATTGAATTGATATTAAACCACTCACCTTACAAACACCTGATTCTTGACAAAGAAGCTAAAATTATACAATGGAAGGAGGAAAGCATCTTCAACAAGAATATCTCTTAATGAGCAGGTATTTTTAAATTTGGGTGATTGTGGTAGTTTGAATGGCAGTGCTCCTCTTAGGCTCTGCTGGAGGAAGTATGCCACTGTAGAAGACTTTGAGGTATCAAAGACTTGCACCATACCCAGTTTCTTCTCTGTTTCTTGCTTGGGGTTAAAGATGTAAGTTCTCACCTTGCTTCTTCAGTCACTATGCCTGCCTGCCGCCACACTTCCCCATGTTTGAGCATCCAGCAGTGTGAGTGTCTACTTGTCATCTAGAGGGAGGCAAAAGGTACTTGGTACCTGGGGAAAGGTGTAAAGAGTATGGTTTTTCTGCCTGCCGCCTGGTCTTGTCCTGCCACCGTGCCAGCCCCAAATAACGCACAGAGACTCTGTATTTGATATTATGCTGTTGGCCAGTTACTAGTTTCTTAACGGCTAGCTCTGTCTTAATTATTAACCCATTTCTATGTATTTCCACGTGGTCTTACCGAGAGCGGAGGAATGGCGGTTCTGTTCTCTCCAGGCTCTCCATCCTGACTCCTCCTTTACTTCTTCCTCCTGGTTTCCTAGTCCCACCTATCTTCATTTCCTATTGGCCAACAGTGCTTTATTTATTAACCAGTATGAGAAACATATAAGAATGACATCTCCCATCAGAAAGGAAGAGGCTAGATGCCACCAGGAGCATCTCTAACCCTGGCTCTCACTGTATTGCTGGTCAGCTCCTGAACCTTATTCCTAAAGGTGGTGGACTCTGATCCATCTGAGTCCATAAATCAACAAACCCTTTTTCCTGTCAGTTGTCTTGGTCCTGGTGTTTTATCACAGCAGAAGTGACTGATTCTGTGATGATCTGTTTATGGCTTTTTTTCTTTTATAGTTAATAGATAGATTTTTTTTTCTTAAAAAATGTTTGTCTACTCTAAGGTAGTCATGATTTTGTTCATGTTTTCTTTGGGAGGTTTGTTTTGCTTTTCTACGCGAGTTATGCTCCATTTCAAATGAATTTTGATTATGTCATGAAGTGGTTGGATTCTTAATTGGCTTCCCAGAGCTTGTGTTTTGAAGGGTTTCTCTCACCTGATGATGCTGGAGGGTGAATGTTGACACTTCAGGAGTAGGGCCTGGTTAGAGGGTGTAAGCCATTGGGGAAGTACACTTCAAAGAGATTCTGGGTCTCTGTCTCTTCCTCCTGCTTTTGGGCAGCTATGAGGTGAGCAGCCTCACTATACCAAGTGCTCCTGCTGTTTGTGCTGTACCTGGAGTCCCAGGGATGGGCCAGGCAGTCAGCAGCTGAGAGTCCTGATGCTGTGATCTTCCTTTGTCTAACTTAGGGATTTTGTTATACTGAGAAGCTGACTAATGTTTGGAGGTTAAGGCTTAATGTTTCCCATATGTATGCCTGGTTGTTATTTTAATAATACTTTTTTTAAAAACACAAATTAAGTGGAGAGTCTGGAGAGAGCTTCAGAGCACTTGCTGCATGTGCAGAGGACCCAAGTGCAGTTACCAGCACCCACATGGCAGCTCACAAAGACCTCTAACTCCAGTTCAGTGGCTCTACTTATATCTTCTGGCCTCCATGGGCATTGAATGCACATACAGACTAGCAGACATAAACATGTATACATAAATAACAATTAAAATAGGACCCCAAAACAAAACAGAAAGGCCACTGAACTCTTCATGACTCATTGGCTTGACTCACCACCTTTGTGAAAAACAGACCTGCATGAGTCTGGTTTTTTCCAGTCTCTTCTGCTCCATTTATTTCTTTTCCTATGAAGATTCCAAGATCTTCATTGCTACCACTCCCTAAAAATGTTTACCTTTAATTAACACCTAGGCTTTAACTTTCTTCTTTGTCAAGCAGGAAGTTTGTCTTCCTTTAAATAAGTTTCCACTGATATTTTCAAATTTTGCAGTGGCTTTCTAGATATTTTTCATTTTTATATTTCATATTTATAATAATTTAAGTTTTACTTTTTTGATACATTAAATTTTTTTTTTATTCTTACTTTTTTCCAGACAGGATTTCTCTGTGTAGCCCTGGCTGTCTTGGAACTTGCTGTATATACCAGGCTGGCCTGGAACTCACTGAGATCCACCTACTTCTGCCTCCCAAGTTCTGGGATTAAAGGTATGCACGACCACTATCTGGCTTGATACTATTATGTCTAGACTTCCCAATACAATTCCTCATGTTATGGTGATCCCCAGCCATAAAATTATTTCATTGCTACTTTTTTACAGTAATTTTGCTACTG